AGTTTCAGAATGAGTACAAAGAAATGGTTTAGAGGCTACTGCAAGCATTAATGAATGTTCGGAGAAGAAAACTAAAGCTAACAAGACCAATGGACATAACAAGTATAGAAATAAGACGAAATACCATATCCAGCAAAATGTCATGTATTTACCTAGCCGATGGGTAAATACCATAAGATCATTATCAATATGCGACTTGGTATTGGTTAATAGTCATACACCAGCTTCAGTATGTCATCTTTGATGATGCTCTATGCTTGTTGCTTCAAACATTAAATTGTTGAGAACATTGAAATTTTATGTCAAAAACTGGTAAGAACATTTTCTTAAATTCCAATTTACATGCAGGTCAACCAACCTTAATCTTTTTACATTTGATGTCATCAGAACTTCTGTTAGGTAAAGTGTATTTACTACAATTTACTGATATCACAAGTTATGAAATGTTGTATAGAAAAAATATAATTTAATGAAGGAGAATTCAACACATTTAATGTGCTAACACTGCCTATAAAATAACCAATCCTGTGTAATGCACGGGCAAAAACTAGTAGTAATATAAGGTTGGTAGGAGTTGAGAGATATTTTAATCCAAATATTACCTTATTAGAATTTTGAGGTAAGAAAACTTGACCTTTTCTTTTCTCTGGCCCTAAGCAAAATGATAAATTACAATCCTTGTATAACGGACAAAAAGCGAAAAATGTGCTATCAAAATGAGTTTCAAAATCTCTAACGATAAATTTCAAGGCTCTTTATGCTAGTGCAACTCTAACTCTGCTAGAGTTGAATTTTCAGTGGTGTTTGTGAAGCTGTCGGCTCCATGGATGGTGTTGAAGGATGAGTCACCAAGGAAAGCCAAGCTAGAGAAGAAGAAGGTAAAACGTTGGGCCTTTTTTTAATTTTGCGGGGCCATATTTATTTAAATGTTGGGCTTTTCAGTTTTCAATTGGATTTGGGTCTCTATTAAAAAACAAAAAAAACCAATAAAAATTATACATTTATATATTACAAAAAATTAAAACAATCCCCCAACCTCAACCCCTACCTTCGATCGCAACGCGACTCCCTTGGCCGTTTCAGCAGCTTGCATCAACGGCGGCCACTCGCCCTTCAACCCCTTAGCCTTCAATTCTATCGCCTTTTGCCGACAAGACTCTAGGCGAGTCAATGACTATTATTTTGTTTATTTTTTTTATTGATTTTTGTTGTTTTAAGTATTTTATTATTTAATAATTTATGAGTTATGACTCATGAGTATTGAGTTTTGATTTATGTGTTATTTGAGAATATGTCAATTGTGAATTGGAATATTAAAAATTAATTTGAGTATTGTGAATATGTGATTTGTGAAAATTGAAAATGAGAAATTGGGGAATTTAGGGGCCGTTCTCTTCGTGTTTCAGTTTTGTATTTTGAATTTTCAATTCGTTTTGAGTTTTGTGTTTTGAATGTCTATTTTGAAATTTTTGAAAATGTGTTCTTTTTGGTATTTTGAAAAATCATTTCCAAAAATTTAAAATGGAAAACACGTTCTTTTTCCCCAAATCATTTCGCGTGTTTCTTCCACCCTATCTCTCTCTCCGTCGCGTTTCTCTTCCTTCTTCACGTCCTCACCGTCGCGTCTCCCTCTCTTCTTCCCCTTCCCTCTCTGTGAACGGTGGTTGGGTGCGATATTGGCTACGATTTTGGGTGTGGTTGGGGTGCGATTTTGGCTGCGGCGATGGTTGGGTACGACTCCTTTTCTCGATTTTCTTTTTTATTTTGCTTCTGGTTCCCTCTGTGAACGGTGATTGGGTGCAAATTTGGCTGTGGTTGGGTGCAAATTTGGCTGTGGCGGTGGTGCGATTTTTTGCTGCGGCGGTGGTGGTGCGATTTTTTGCTGATGGAGAGATGTTTGGATGTGGCAGTGGTGGTGCAGTGGTGGTCATCAACGTTGGAGGAGAGAAACCGGTAAGATGAGTTAAGGAAGAGACATATTGTGGAAGGGAGACTGAACAGTACTCCGTTTCCCGTGTTTTCCATTTTGCCTTGATTTTGCTTGAAAACAGTCAAAACGGCTGAAAAGCCATTTTGCGTTTTCAGTGTAAAAAAAAATTTCGTTTTCCAAAACACGTTTTCGGAAATAGTAAAGAGAACGCATTTTCTCCGTTTTGAAAAATCGAAAACAGAAAATGGCCCGAAAACGGCAAAGAGAAAACGGCAAAGAGAACGACACCTTATATTTTGTGATAAATTGGTGTTGTAAATTGAAAATTGAAACTTTAATCATATTTTAAAATTAATTTTAATTACGTTTAATTTTTTTATTAATGTTCAATTCTAACAGGATTATGGAACGATTTTCCAATTTAAACGAAAGTCCCAATCTAGTCCCTACTTCTAGTTGAGCAAATAATTTGTAAAGCATTAATAACGCAAAGAAGTATCATACAATGTATCATGTATTTTATATTATTATTTCGGATTGTATTGAATTGTATTTTGATATAAATATATTATTTTTACGTTTTAGTGCATTTACATATAATTTTTTTAAAAAACTAATATTATTTAATTTAATATAAACGACATTGTTATACGGCCATTGACTATCAACGGTCAACGACTGTCCTAATTGAGTCGAAGTCCTGGATCCGCTCCTGTTATGAAGCAATAGAGTTTCAACAAGAACATTAATTTGGATAATGTGAAATTCAGTAGGTTATAAATAAAATATGGCTAAGAGTTGTTTGATAATTGTGGAAATATTATATAGTTGGCTGTTTTCACCAATAATAAAGATGGTGATAAAAAAATGTATATGAACATACTATTTTCATAGACATCGTGGAGAACTATATGTTGATTTATCTAATTATTCTTTGTTTGAGGAAGCAGAGGAGATGGTGAAGGTAGGTGGGGGTGGAGGAGGCGAGGAAATAAGTACTCACGTTGAATCTTGCAAATTTATATATACTAATCCCGTCATGAAAATCAAACAAAAAAAAAAACTTGGACCTTTTTTTTCTCTGGCCCTAAGCAAAATGATAAATTACAATCCTTGTATATCGGGGCAAAAAGCGAAAAATGTGCTATCAAAATAGTTTCAAAATCTCTAATGATAAATTTCAAGGCTCTTTATGCTAGTGCAACTTCTAGTTTGGGTCTCATACTCCCATAATTGCTATAATATTGGCTCATCTTCCCTTGAAAACAATTGTATTCCAGTTTTTTGAAATTTTCATTACATAATTTTGAAACGCGTACTTGTCTACTTATTCATCACAATAGTTTTGAATTCTTTTAATTTGGTTTCTTACATTGTTATAAATGAGATTACAAAGAGACTCCATTAGCCTATTTATTTATCCGTTTCCTTTGAATGAACGATAGACATCAACTAAATCTCACCGTGTAGAGAAAAGTTTTAGTCAATTCCACCTTTAACTATTGAAGAACTATTTTGAAAGTGGTGTCTACAATATTCTATAGTAGAATTACTTTCAAAATCCTTTTCCCGTTTATTCACTTTTTATTAAAATTATTTATGTTTACCCATTTTCCTTCTCAAACATTTCAGTGCAGGACGATAAAATAAATAATATGAATAAACTCGAAATATTAAAGAATCCAATTACCCAAAAATAATAATTGAAGGATCAAATACAATATTATTATTAAGTTGGAGGTATCTGTTGCAATTTTCCTAAACTTTTATTTCTTTTCCAATAAGAAGGCAAATAAGTTCATCACAACGAACCAAATTTGTATATATACACACTGTTTTGCTCCAATTTTCAATCCATAGAGGGTGCATTATGAATTCTCATTAAGCGTAGTATCCACTACACAAAATTGTGAAAAAGGGAAAATTAGACTCCAACTTTTACATAAGTGGATTTGAATCTCCTACCTTCCAAAACGAGCACTTGAGTCGCCAACCTATATATCGTTGTGACTTTAGGTCTGGACATAAACGGTTAGTCTAACATTTAAAAAGTCATTGTCGCTCGTCAAAAAATGAAATATTGATCCCTTGAGTCACATTTGGCATGCCGATAATGGTTAATATGAATTGTTTTGTACGCTCTACTGGTAGCAAAGATTAATTTATGAAACAACATATAAAACTATCATCTCTACAAACCTCTAGAGAGAGAGAGAGGATGTCCATATGAAATCATCCTAATCCGTTCAGATTACCAAAGCAGATTATCTAGTCGCTATGGGAGGATGGTATTTCTGTGGCACAATGGGAGTAAGAATTTAGTGGCCAACTTTGCATCACGAGGTGGAAAGACCTGTCAAAAAGCTAAACGCTCAAAAACTGATTTGGATACAAATATAAAGATGGACTAGTACTGATATATTTCCTTGCATGAATCCATAAGCCAATTATGAGTACAGCCAACATCCACAATCCTTTTGTAATGTGAAGTAAGCTTTAGAGTCCATAAAATAAATGGAGATCTTTTAGAGTAAAAAGTGAATCAGCATTAGAACTTAACCTTGCAGACAGCATTTTAAATTATACCTCCATGAGCAAAAAAGATCTGACATAAATTATAATTGATTAGAGTTCTTATCCGTCTAAAACAGTATTGCATTGACAACAGATATTGGTAAAGCAAGTATTTGAAATCTGCCATTTGTTGACACCACATTAGGAAGCTTTATCAAAAGCCAATTTATGAAGGTCAAGATGATTGATGAAACCTACAAGATACGAAAATCCCAGATCAATATCCTGTTAACTACACTCGTCCCTTCTGAATAGACCTCTTCTCCGTCTTCCCTTATGGAGCACGCAGGATCGGACTGCATTTTGCTCAAGTCACCATTGTTTGTCTCCTGTTCTATTCCCTATTGCAGTGGACAACCCTGCAAGACAGCTGACCCTGCTGTTGGAGCAAAATTCAATATGGTGACCAGTTTAAAAGTTGTTGGCAAATCGTTGAGAGAACTTACCTGCTGCTTGTGGTCTACTTTTCTTCCTTTTCAAACTTGCATCGAGGATCCTAGGGCTGGGATGGAGGTAGTGATGGAACTATAAATGGAGGAATTATGCAGGTGTCTTCCCCATTTAACACGTGAACAGATTTCGCAATTGCGGATACAGTTGATGGCATGACAGGTTCAGCGGCTTCACCAGGTCCACTTACTGCTTCTCGAAGCCAATGGGGCAATGTGTCATTTGGATGACTGCATCTAGTGACCTTTTCCTTTCCCTTTGATTGATAAAATCTTTGATCCTTCTCAAAATTTGCAGGCTCTTCATTTCCCATATGAAATAATGTTGATGATTTATCAAGGCCCTGCAATATCCCCAATTTAGTAGCATTTTCCTGGTTCTCCTTTTTCTGTAATTTAGAGCTCTCTGAACAACTTAGACCCAGAGAAACCAAGCTACTAGATCCCAATGAATTCAGCTGAAATGATGAGTCTGTATGCATGCCTTCAGAAGCGAGTGATCTGTCTGAAGCACCCGACGAGAAGGCTCGGAAGAAAGTTGTGTGAAACTTGTTGACATCCCTGGTTGGAAGAGCTGGAACCTGCTCACTGTGTAAACCAAGTCGATCAGCATATTCCAAATGTGGCTCGCCGGATGGTAGACCACCAAGACCCAATTTCATGTCCATCAAGCGGGTTGGAAATTTCAATAGCTCATTATATTTACCTCCGTGCAATGCCCGTGCCATCATTCCATCAGAGATCCCAGTATATGAGGCGGAATTTGCTGAGTTTGGTGGCCTAAGAGAATTTGGTACTGGCACTTCAGGCCCATCCAAGATTTTAAGTTGTTCTTCCTCCCATTTTGTTGACAAATCTTCAGCAGTTTTTACCTTGGAAAACTTCAACCCTGGATTTCGTAGCATTGCCTCCCAGTTACCCTTTCCATGCCTCCGAATGCCAATCCACAAGTTATCAAGCTCATTTTCAGACCAGATATCTCCCTTTGATTTCTTTTTGTTCAGACTGCTCAGTCCATATCCAGATCTCAACATAATGTTCTCAAGGACCTCCCTGTGGTTTTCATGAAGTGTTGTAGATGGATTAGGCATCTTACCTGAGCCCAATGCTGAATGAATCTCCTGTTCTTGCTGATTATATTTGGGTGCATCTGGAGGATATTTAAGCTTTGGCAATGATGGCAGTGCAGGAAGCTTACCATTCAGATTTGAAACTCTTGATCCCAGTGACAGGATTGGCAACAAATCAGTTGTTGAATGCAGAAAATTTGCACTAGGAAGTGGATATTGCAGCAATTTGTCATCAAATGGTAATTTCCGCAACATTGTCTTTTCATGATGATTAAAGTAAGTACCACCAATATTTCTCAAATGTTCCGCAGGGCCTTTTCCTTTCAGGATGTCCAGAAGCTGCTGCGAATAAAACATAATTAGTCAAATCATACTACTGGGCATGAGAGGGGGGAGAGAGAGAGAGAGAGAGAACATACTGGATTAAAGGGCAGATCAGGGACATCACTCTTCTGCTGCGACTGAGAAGTGCATGATGAAAGATCTGGTAATTTGAACCTGGATGGGATTGACTCGTTTCCTTTAATCGTCATCTCATTCGAGGAGCCATTGCTAGTAGGGAAGGAGGACTCAAGTACTGGCCCTTTCTTGTACTGTCTTTGATATGATCTTGAAAATTTCCTGTGCACCGGCATCATTTGGTTAACATTAGGAGCACATAGTCCTAAAACTGGAATCAGATTGTCACTTAATGAGTTCACAGTGCTTGTGCCCTCTAAATGCTCATTTGACGGAGGAACTTCCGCAATGTGTTGGTCAACAGATATAACAGGAAGTTTCAGAAAAGCGTTGGGTTTCTGCTGTGATGTCTTCCCCAACTTCAAGGACGAGCCAATCTTGTTATCTGGTCCTGCCGTTGGAACACGATCTTTGAAGTCAATTGCTGAAAATTTCTCTTCGACGGGAATTGATGCAGTCAATTGAGTCTCTGCTTGAGCACTGGGTGGTGGCAGCTGAGAAAGCAACTCTGGTCCAGATAGATGTTCAATGGGAGCAGATGATTTAGTTGCATTTCTCTTAGCTAATCGTTCTTTCTGTCTAGCACGGAGTTTAGCACTGTTGAAAGATGAACAGGTCAGCAACCTTAAAATATAAGTTTCTACATTGGTGTTTGGAGCCCTATATATGTGTGCATATTGGGGTGCAACGTGTGTACATAATGCGTGCATAGTGTGTGCATGCATCTGTCGTGCGTGAACTAAATCAGACTATCAGATCTTTCAAATGTCAAAGTAACAAGAACATAAGGGGGTTGATTTTTCTGAAATGAAACTCACTATTTTGATTTAAAAGCTCGTCCAGCCAAAGTGTACTCCCGTACAGGCTCTTGTTCTGGCTCTGGTTCCTCTTCTGCACCACTCTGTCATAACAAATATTAAGAATATCGCTGAGAATCAGCTAGATATAGTCTCAAAGCTACACAATTCAGTTTGTAGAACATCGAACAAATATCTTATGGAAGGTGAGGCTAAGGGACAATGGGAATAGAGAAGTGGCAGTCAGATAATTGGTACCTACTGAGGCAACTAAAACAGAGATTTTCTATATCCCCACCTCTAGTTGGTTACAATAACAAATCTTTATAAAGGACAACCACTACACTAGAACAGAGAACTAGCAAGAGAAGCAACAGCTTAGCTTCATATACAAATCAAGCTCAAGTTTAGAGTCACTGGAGCAAAGCAAATGCAGTGTCCAATAGGCACATCCGTGAAATCACAAATAAGCCCATATCAAATCCAATTTTAAACAAAGCATGGCCTGAGAGAAATTTTTAATATATGAGATCAGGAATATGTTGATGTCTAAGCAAATAAAGCATCTAAATGTAGAATTTTAAATGCAAAACTTTGATGCAGATATTTAAAGAGTTTAGCCACATGCAGTAAAAACCAATAATTAACACGCATCTCTAACAGAGAGATAGAGGACCGAGGGAGGGAAGAAACCAGTACTTCACTCTGTGTTCCACTGGGGTGTTCCACGTATGCTTCCCTGTAAGAAATGACTTTTCTCTGACGTTTCCCTCGACCAAGAGATGCTTCCTCTTTACATTTATATTTCTCCCATCTGCAAATCAAAATGAGCAGGTTGCATAATTGAAAAGACTCAATGCTTTCTTATGTTTATTACAGGCTGATGAATCCTATACTCATTTACAAAATAGATTTCAATCTGATGTATAGGCTTTTTTTGGAAGGTTATTTATTCTCCCCTTGATCTTGTTCTATTAAGGATATTTGCCAATTTTCTACCTCCACGTGAGTCTTTCTTCTAGGTTCAGTAACATCAGGTTCTTAATTATCAGATGTGGGACATTAAAGCTGCTTCAAGTCTTAACTCTTACCTAACTCGCAGAAGCCTGTCCCATTCATTTTCTTCATTATTGCAAACCAAATTATCATCCTTCTTTTCAGAACTCTGTGCACATGTCTCGCTAGTTGCTTCAGGAAACGATGCTGTTTCATCTTTGTCTTCCATTGGTTCATCATTCAATTCTGGGCACTGATTGAAAGGATAAGGTAGCGAAAAGAGTGAGATATTGAGGAAGCATCAAGTTGAGTTAGTGGACATTGTTTGAAACGATCTACTAAAGAAAAACTGTTCAATTTGAAGAGGATGGAGTAATTCAAGATCTATATAGAAAAATCTGGGATGTATTGTCCCAAAAATTTAGTTACGAATATATGAAACTTTTTTTTTCAAGAAAAATATAAGCATTGAATCTATGTTGTGCTAAAAGTTGAAGGGCGTGTAATCAATAGTAAAATAACACCAGAGATGCTGATACCTTCACTAAACCAAGCATGCCATTCTATTCTTGACTCTGCAGGGTTCGGTGAATCAGATTCAAGGTTTGAGCGGTCAAGCAAATAAAATTGAAGAGGAGGGAGTAATTCTTATTCCATACTAGAAAAATATGGGAAGGATTGCCCCAAAAATTCAGTTAAGAATAGAGGAACTTCTTCATTTTTTTCAAGAAAAAAAAATAAACATTGAATCTATGTTGTGCTAAAAGTGGAAGGACGTGTAATCAATAGTAATATAATGGCAGAGATGCTGACACCTTCACTGAACCAAGCATGTCATTCTCTAATTCTGTCTCAGCAGTATCCGGTGAATCAGATTCAAGGTTTGAGCGGTCAAGCAATTTCAAAATCGAATTTTCATCCCACACAATCTTGTTACTAATATCTGTGCATTTATCTTGGTAGAAATCCCCAAGGCCACCAGTCCTCTTATGCTTAGTCTCTACCTCTGTAATTGTTTTATCGTTATTGATGTGCTTTTCACCATCTTTTCCAGGCAAGCTAGAAAATTCATTAAAAATTTCTTTGGTTCCCCATCTTAGGATACTTTCCACCTCCTTTGGCGACCCAGACTTGTTCACAAAAAGTTGATCAAGCATAAGTTTCTTCTTTGTCAGCTGCAAGATGCGTTCTTCAACACTAGCACGCACAAAAAACCTATATACGAGAAGTCTATTCGATTGTCCAATTCGATGTGCCCGATTCATGGCTTGGATATCTGCATGTGGGTTGTAGTCAGAATCGTAGATAATGACAGTATCGGCAGTAGCCAGGTTGATACCAAGACCACAAGATCGTGTTGATAGAAGGAAGACAAATCGGCTCTTATCTTGGTTAAAACGTGCAATTGCTTCTTGGCGAATTGTCACAGAAACAGAACCATCAACTCTCTCATATGTCTCTGGCCCAAATTCAATGTTCAAATAATCCTCAAGGATATCAAGTAACTTGGTCGACTGTGAAAATATAAGGACTCTATGACCTTCTTTATATAAAATCGTAAGCATAGAATGCAGCAGAGTCAGTTTAGCAGAAGCCTTAATCCGCATTTCATGAAGGAATTCCTCGGATCCAGTATCAGGCTCGGTGCCTGGTATGAGATAAGGATGGTTGCAAATATTCCTCAATTGCGCCACAACATTTAACATTGATTTAACTGGTTCTCCGTTCCCTATATTGCGTAATATCTGATAGTTCTTTGTAAGCACTGACCGATAGTATTCTGCCTGTATAGATGACAACTCAACAGGAACCAGTCTTTCAGTCTTAGGTGGGATATTCTTCATGGTATCCTTTTTAAGCCTACGAAGCATGTGCGGAGAAACATGTTTCTTTAGTTCCTCAATCTTTTCTGCAGTTGTGCGATCATTAAACTTCTCCTCAAATGAAGAGAGAGAAGGAAATGAAGCTGGCAGCAAAAAGTTTAGCAGATTATACAGTTCCCCTATGTTGTTTTGAAGAGGAGTGCCAGTCAACAATACACGTTGTTGGAATGAAAATGTATTTAGCACCCCAAAAAGTATGCTCCTTGCATTTTTCAAACGATGCCCCTCGTCAACCACAAGAACTTCCCAAGGAACTCCACGAAGATAAGACGAGTCTGCTATAACCATTTCATAAGTAGTAAGAAGAACATTGAACCTGTAAGCGGTTGTTTTTGTACTTGACGAACAAGGATCACTGGCATTCCATTCGTATTGGCGAATTATGGTTCTAGCCCTTGCACTCCCATGATATTCCACGACATTGAGGTTAGGAGCCCACTGTGCAAACTCTGCCATCCAGTTAGGCATTGTGGATAAAGGAACCAAAACTAGACAAGGTAGCATAGCTTTAAACTCAAAATATAGTGATGATATAAAAGCACAAGCTGATACTGTTTTCCCAAGCCCCATTTCATCAGCAAGTATGACATTTTTTGAGTTATTCCAGCATTCCCGCAACCAATTTAATGCTTCAAGCTGATGTGGAAACAAAGAACCTCCTACTAGCTCCTTAGGCTGCTCAGTGAGAGTAATTACCTCACTTTGTCGGGAGTCACCCTTCCTCCGCAGTGCGTCATGTTTAGCGCCATCATTCTGTATAGATTGGCGTTCAAACTGATAGAACAAATCAACCAAGTGCGGTGAGTTAGCAATTACAGGTTCATCCATTTTTTCCCAAGTGCATTCATCATAAGGAACATCTGTCCACTTTACATACACTTCAGTAGAACCGTCTTCAGAGGACCGAACATCAATCACTCGCTGAGGCACCTTCCACCGTTTGTTACAGAAATTCGTTGTTGATGTCCCGTATTTCGCCTTATAATTTTCCAGCTTCCTTTTAGCCAGAATTTTCAGTTCAGATTCAGGAACCCAACTGTTATGGATATGAGATTTTCCTATCCACTTGACCAAGAAGTCATATGACACAGTCAATCCATTAGAGAATCCAGATTCAGTTGTGCAGGACTCATTAACTTTCTTTTCAGGAGAACCATTCATTCTTATCTCTGTTTCAACCTCATTTGAGCTTCCAATCTCATCGGAGATGCGTGTTCGACGGTTTCCTTTACATTCTTTGGTCACTGATCTTCGGTACACTTGTAGCTTATCTGTAATTATATCATCTTTTATGTTCTTTCCCCCATCAGAACAGCCAGCGACATCCTTAGATCCCCAGACAGAGTTTCCTCCACCAACCACATATGAGGGCATTTCCCATTCGGGACTTCGACCAGATAGTTTGATTCGATCTTCTACTACTATTGAATCCTCAGAAGGCAGGTCATTTTCATCCATGACAAGGATGTTACGAGAAGAATTTGCATGATCACTCTGCACTCTACAACCCAAAACTCGATCAACCTGCAGTTCAAAAATAGAAAATATGTAAGCTACGGAAAATATGTAAACTCAATCAACCTGCAGTTGCAATATGAAGACTACATTCTCCTCTTCCCCCTCCCTTACTTTCAGAAGCAAAGAGTTCTACAAAATGCAGAATTTAGATACTTGAGGAAAAGTACTTATTGTCAGAAACTAGAAAGCAGCCACAAAGAAAAAAGACTGATATATTGGAACCTAGATCATCCTTACAAGATGATTGGGTATCAGAAAATAATATATTATAAGATTTCTCCCAAAGCATCAATCTCATGGACCGTTCCAATATCCTTTAAAATTATTACAGTCCCTGTTCAAATCAACAATCAGTCTATTCTTCTTACTATATCTAGGTAGATATTTGCTAGCAATAAATTTTGTCATCATTGATCATCGAGATATCTGGTGCAGACACACGCCTTTGAAATTCCATCTGAACATTAGAAAAGTAAGGGACAGGTCAGGGGCTATTAATTATTTGAATCTTAGTGCAAAACTACAGTCTATCGACCTAAGTTCTTTCAGCCGATCACAGTGACCCACTGAAGGAAGAGGACAACACAGAAATAGATGTTGGTTCAAGGTCAGTTCAGAAATTAAATGAACTGATTTTAATGGGTATGTTTTCAAACATCAGATGACGAAGAAATATACCTGGCAAAAGGAAAATTACTTAGACTTGAATAAGCATCAAAAGAAAAGAGACCATGTCAGAAGGAAAATACATACCTTGTCTTTTAGTTGGATACCAACAGTGTCTTTCTCAACTTCCTTTTTTGATGAAGTCTCTTTTGCAACTTCCTTTCTCGATGGAGTCGTACAAGCCCTGTGGTCAACTATTTTTTTTTTTCCTTGTGTTTTGGAAGTGCTTGAATGTTTAGCCTTCGCTTTCAACACACCCTTGCTCGAATTATCTGCAGCAGATTTGTCCTTGTTAGTCTTGTGCTTCTTTTCACTAGCATGGGTGGAAACCTTATGCTTTCTTTTTCTAACTTCCCGCATGGCAGCTTCCAATGCGACTTCAAATTCATCAATGTGTTCATTTTTACGAGACACATTGGCCATTCTCCCAGAAGCATCCTCATTTGTATTTAAATTTCGTATCTTCGATAATGACAACATTTCCTTAGCAGGAGCACTAGACTTCTCCTCCGAAATATGTGTCATAGACACATCCAGACGACAGGGTTCTGTAAAGGGGGATACATGACCGGAGAAACAGACCTCCTTTTCAACTGATTGGGCACAAGAAGATAAGGAAATTTTTCTGTTGTCTGAAGATCTTCTTTTCTCAAGAATGGAGCTTTCGAAGACCTCAGTTACCTTTTTAGTTCGAGATGATTCCTTTTCAGTTTTTGATCTTTGAACGATAAGTTCTGTCCCTGCTCGTTCTGAGACAGGATCCAGATTCATAGGCTCTAAAGACGTACTTTTCTGACAACAGTTTGGGCATTCCCACTTCCCTGGTGGAACATGCTAGGGATAACAAAATGAATAAATAAGATTGTGTTAAAGCATGAAAACAAACAAATAGAATGATTGGGAAACATGTTATCCTTAATTATCAATGAGCTAAACATACCTTCAGAGGAGGATTCAAACACTGAAGATGATAGGTTTGGGGACAGCTTTCACAACAAAGCAAATTTCCCCCAAGATTACAGACCATACATTCGAAATAATACTGGAGAAAGAAGCCAAGCACAAGTCATGGAGAGCTCATAGGGCTGATGTCACTATTCTAGCACTAATGTTCAAATACTTTATCGGTTCACAGGTTCTAACATCGCTATTCCAGAGCAAAAGTTCAAATATTTATTGATCAATTTGTCGTTTCGCAAAAGACGACAATTGAACGAACTTAATTAAAGTATAATAAATAGATGTACCGATTTCTTTGCCAAGAAGAACTGCGTGGGGTTGCAATTCGCGCATGCATAGCTTCTTTTTTAAAACATTTTTCTTGTATATTGAATAAACCTCTCATGTATACTTCACATTCTTCTCTTCAAGAGATTTGTTCCAACCACAAGATATTAAAGAAAAGAATAAGATAGCTCACCCCATCATCTCCTATTCTTTTTCCAGGATGATCTAGAGCATCATCGTCTTTTGGGTCACATTTTGATGACATGGATGGTGAAGGTTCTTCTACAGGTTTGGAGTTGTTTTCTCTGCCACTGGATTTATCTGTACCATCAGGAAGTGTTCTTTGCTTTCGTTTCAAGACCCGGTTTCCATTAAGCATTTTACTAGTTGTTGAACTGAGCCCTTCATTGGTAGACATCAAGTAGTGCACTTATGAACTGTAATGAAGAAAAGAATGTTGTGTCAAAAACAAAATCTAGCATTTTTGACATCTACACTTCTTCTTTGAAGAAAAGCTGAGGAGACAAGCCCAGAAATAGAAAGGCATACAGTACTTAATCTAATCTGTTACTGCATCAAAATCAGATTCAGTACTTGGGAAAAATGAATGCATTGTAAGCAGCAAAAAGTTTGTACGCAATTTTATGTAACCTTGGTTGCCTCTTTTAGGCATGCTGAAATACAAGTAAGAAATTTAGGTAAAAGTATGCATCATATTTGAACAAAACCTGCACCCCACATATGCTTGAACCACATTTATTTATTCCTTTCTTTTAAGTGACAAAAGAAGCAAATATAAAATTTGATTTCTAGATGAATGTTGATTGAACATAAAATACGAAAGTACGTTGCCATACTCGATATTTCTATATAACAACTAACCTTCATAAATTGCACAATTCTATTTAAGACTTTAGCTACAAACTTTGAACAATTAAAAGTATATAAATATTTAGAAGGGCTTTCATTTCTTGATGTCCATGGCCTCTGATCAATTTAGCAAAAAGATTTTTCAGACAATCAACGATGAATCTCCAGTGTGCACAGTACAATATTATGAGCTTAGATTTTAAACCACTGAATAAATGGGAAACAAATCAATCAAGAAACAAAGTAGCGTTCCTTTCAACATGGATGTCTCAATCCAAAAAAAATTGACAAGAAAAGCATGCAGCATGCCTCCATCACATTATTAAACCAATATCAACATAAGCAAAATTTATGAAGTGCGGGTCAAACTAGTCCAATGTGTTAGCAGATTAAAAAATGCTAAGAAGATCTAATGTGATTTTCAGAGCAAAATAAGGAGCAGTCTCTACATGCAACACATATTAGCACGGATAAGACCTGAAATTGATTTATTAGAAACCAGTACCGTGTCTAAAAATGGTTATATTCAAAATTATGTTACGAAAAGCATGACATCAGAAAAATTGGATTTTCAAATGAAGGAAACATCAGAAAACAAGATCGTTATTGATTATTAGAAAGAACTGATCCACGGAGGGTTTTCATAATGAAACTTATATTTACTTGACAGTCACGCAAGCATAGCACTAGGGTTCAAATAATTAGAAAGTGCACCATTTATCTAGAATGCTAAGAACAGCACATCATCTTTTTGTCTTTTTCTTTAGCGGTGTAGTCACCGAGAGTATACATCTTATTCTAACTAATTGATGCATTTTCTCAAGTATTCAGAAGCAATAAATATGTTATTGTAACTGTTCGACGTTTAAGTAAGCTTGACAAGCCTTGCAATAACTAAATAGAATGGTAAACTTGTATTTCACCACAGATTCCTTATGCTCTGTGTGCGGTATACCTTCTCGAACTTATTTCTCCTAATCTTATATGCTCTTCTCTATCTTTTCTATAAGTGGTGCAGATCTTATATATGCTCTTCTTTATCTTTTCCCTTTTTCAGATCGGTTGCTTCAGGTGTTATATCTTAGCAAGCTAAATTCTCAACACAAGCCATGGGATTTCAAAACCTGCATTAATTTATACCCAAATATCCAAAAACTTTAGCCGCCAGTAATAAATTATGGCATTCTTAAATTCCAAATGCAAGACAGCAACAAGAATTTGAAAGCATATAACCAACCAAGCAAAGCTAAAACATAATTACCTCATTAACCATAATTTAAACATGATTGTAAGATGATCTCCCCATCTTAATTCAGACAAACAAACAATCAGCAAAAACATATACTAAAATGCTTAAGGTGAAATGTTGAATTGAATCATAAAAGATTGAAGCAAAACTCATTAAATCCAATCAAAGAAAGAAAACAAGCCCAAAACCTATTTAATCGCACAAACAACATCAAAACTTCAATTCATCCACCACAATCAAGCAATGCCCACATCTGAATGAGCAGAAAAACATTCAAGAATCAGCTGAAATAAGCTCAAATTCATCCACCACAATCAACCACTTAAAATATGCACAAACAACAGTGCCCCGTATTGAAATTAGCTCATGCCAGCCTTGATTATGGATCAACCCAAAAAATAAAATAAAATCAATCTTGCTAAAGTTTTTTTTTTGTATATAAACTGATAGTATATCTCAAGCGGTGGGTTGAAGACAAATGAATGAATAGGGGCGGACAATTGAATAAAATAAGCAGCGGCAGAGAGAGAAAGTGAGTGAAGCATTACAATCGTATACGGATTAGCCGGGTTCATAGACACTTTGGGTGTTACACGCATTGACATGGCAGCAAGCGGTGTAATGTCGTGGGCATCTATATCCCAGTGTCACCAGGTGGTAGCATGCCACGTGGCACCCTGGATGCATGTCCCCGTCTCTCTCTCGTCGTGCTTCCTTCATCTTTTTACCTGCTTTTTCTTTGCTTTGGTTCAGTCTAAAAATCTTCTCCTCGTCTTGCAATGCAGAGACTCTCAGGTTACTGGGCTTGATTGATTCTTCCATATATGTATATAATGCAGAATATTTTACTCTATTTCTTAGCCGTATCTTTCTCTTTCTAGACTGTACATATTTATATTGTATCTATATTTGCACGTTGTCAATTATATTACCGCCATTAAGTTTGATTTTCAATTTTGATCCTAATCCAGGGCTCAGAAGAGTATTTTTTACTTTACAGGCAATCTTCTTTTTCTGTTCATTAATTCTTTGTTATATATAATTATATCCACACACTTCAAATCTTTAATCTTCCATAGGCATAGATTTGAAGGAAAATTGAGAGCATGGAAAATTTACTACTTTAATGTGAAATAAATTTTTACCTCAATTACTATTTTGGTAAAAAAAATTTAAAGGGGGTAGGTAAGATCTTTGCTATTGTAAAGAGAGAAAATGACAGATTATATTCTCTTTTTGGGACAAAACTGAACTCAATCCTCTTTTCGGTTGGGTTCGTGAAATAATAGTAAAAGGTTTTATAGGAAAAAATGATGTTATCCAAATCCAAAATTTACCTTTACTCCCCATTGTAATGTATGCCTTTTTGGTAATGGCATGTGAGTAATTATTTTATCCTTATATAGTTTTTCCTTAAACAAAAATACATTCATAATTCAATTACACTTCAAAACAACTTGAATATTTCATTGATAAGAACAAGAAAAAGCTAGTCTTCTAATATCCTTTTTTTGTTCACCAAAAAAAAAAAATATTGATTGTTAATGGTAACTATGATGAAAATACCACGTTAAGGTGATGTCGACCTGGCGTAGGGGGACATCAGGTCAATTTGACCCCTTGTCGATCTCATTTGGATAAAAAGTGCATGGTCTTACGACTAGATCTGATATGGAAAAATGATGCTTTGATTGCTAACCAATCAAATGATTCATCTCCCGTCTTAACCTATGAGATGAATGCGTATACAAGACGCGCTTACAAGTTGAGTCCTCAAGAAGGCGACAAGGTAGATATCGATTGAGCAGACAAGACAATGGCAATCTTCCTTGTCCTTCCATAGTAAGGACAACAATATGCGTTGCAATAGTTATATTACAAAGAATAAGATCTACTTTATTCCTTCCGAGAATCTAGGAATTAGAGGGATGCTCAACTTATTTATACGTAAGAAGTTGGTTGCTACGTCAGCATAGAAAACCTCTATATTTATCCACATTATTTTTACTAATACTTTAGTAAATGTTGTGTAAAATCCTTAACCCCTATTTATTAGGGATAAAAATCTAGATTGCAATTTAAGTCAAAGTCAACGATTAATTTTAATTACATTTTTCATAAACTTTTTAATCACACGTTTCATTAATTTTTATCAAAATATACTAAAAATTTGAATTTTTGATTTACGTGTAATATTATTTTATGGGAGAATGTATGGTTGAAAATAAATATTGAAAAAATATGGGTTGAGGGCAATGTTCTTTTCTTTTCAACTCATCTTTACCCCCCCAGTAATCCTACGTTTGATTTAGGAAAAATATTTGACAAAAAAGAGTTAATTTCACAAATGGTTGTTGAAGTTCAATTGAATTTTCAAATTGGTCGTCAAAATAAATTTTGACCCATTTAGTCACTAAAGTTAAACTTTATTACATTATTGGTTACTCTATTAGCAACATCCGCTCCAGATTCGACGTAGCTCTATAATTCTATAAAACCTTGAAAATACCTAATGGTGGTTGTGGCCATGCCGTAGAATTAGACTTTCAAAAAAAAAAAATCATTCTTAAAATAAAAACTTCTAGCCACCTTAAACTCAATCCTATTTTTCGTCATTAATAAACAATAAGAAAATTACGACAAAATTAAAGGCCTAAACAGGAGGTCAATTGAAAAGAATCGATCACTATAACAATCGTTAATCCACATAGAGGTTTAAAGGCTACTACGTCGGATATAACATTAGGCTGACAATGTTCAATTATTTTATATTATTTAAATATGGTGACTAGTCAAAAAATACTTCCAAGACCAATTTTGAATTTTTCTTGAACTTCAGTGACCATTCGTGAAATTACCTCATGAAAAAACTGCTAGTTAGGCCTGAGCAAAAAAATCGAAAATCGACCAAACCGATTGAACCGAACCGACTCGGGTCCGTTCGGGTATGTTTTACATAGTTAATTGGTTTGATTTGGTTTGATTTTATTTTAAATAAAATCATGATGGGTTGGTTCGATTATGGTTTAAAGTTTCAAACAGCTGATTAACCAATCCAACCTACTTACACATATTTCCATATTTTCTTTTTGAAAACAGAAAAGTCAAAATAAAAAAACTTAATGATGTTCTCCCGTGACTGGAGGTGTCTAGTTGCCTCTTTGAGTACTTTTGTTGAATACTATATAAAATTTTTGTTTTAAAAAGACACTTTCAAGGAAACATTGATATTATTTTATAATGAGTATGGACTTATGGTT